TTTTTTTTACTTTTCCTAAGCTTTTAAAGGAAAAATTTCGGGAAAAATACCGCAACAAAATTATCAAATTTGAACTTGAAAGCTTAATATCTTCCAGACTTTAAGCTGCAGGTACAAAGTGTCTGGGTCGGATTTATAGCTGCATTTTCCAGCTCTCCCCACAGTATTAAATTTTAAGACATTACGAAATTCGATGGCTGTCTTTTCACTCGTGCGTATGTCGCATCTTGGAGCAGTGGGACGCCCTTAAAATAATTTTTGAAGAAGAGTACGATTCTGTTCAGAATCGTACTGCTGAAATAATTTTATGTAACTACAGGAATGTATATCTTAAATTATATTTTTGCATCCTTGATCATGTTCTTCCTGTAGTAAACAAATTTAATATAATCTTTCAACCCAGTGTAGCAGTGACTCACATAGTTTATAAAACCATGGTTAAAACATTCAAAAATTAGATTTCATGATACATGAAAGAGTTTTACATAAAAGCTACTGAAGCTGATAAGTTGGATCCCACGATTACAGTTAACTTCTTAAATATAAATAAAATGAATTTAGGGTTTCAGTTCTGTAAGGAATTCGCCAAACTTAATTCTAAATGTGATAAAAATGAGATTAATTCTGTGTTAATTCCTACGCAAAGCTTTTTAATCGAATTATGCGTTTAATTAAAAAATCGTCTTCCTTTCCATGAACCTGCTTTAAAGCTAATGTCATTCTTGAGCCCTGAAGTGGCAATAGATGGCGAATTATATTCGTTGCAAAAACTTTACAAACGATTCCCAGATCTTTCAACGGATCCAAAGCAAATTGAATGCTAGTTTCAATTCCTAAAACACGATTTTAATGTTGCTAAACTTAATTACAAAAACTGTAATTGTCCAGGCAAAGACAATATTATAGACGAAAATAATTGTTTAAGATTTGCTAACTTAGCAAAGTTCGCAAACAGCCTTGTAATTTTTCAGAGATATGTAAAGTATAAATCTACGTTTTTATTCCATGTCTTATCCTTGCGATCATCAACCTTATAATCCTTGTTCGCTGACATGTCGATACTTGTTGTAGACAAGTACCGATAAATCGAATACAGAAGTGTTTCATACAATACTATCGACAAATAACTAGTTAATTGACATTCATATCTTAAGGCCTGCCTCCAGAACCGCGGAAAATTGCGGCAAGGAATTTGCTAGTTATTCCGTGAGGGTGTGGAACATAGCTAAAACAGGGCTGATGAATCAGCACACGGTCCCGATAGGTATCGATATAAATGTGTGGATTCCGCTCGGGTTGCTGGATACACACTCCAGGAATACCAAAGCGAAACATTCCTGTCACAGTTTTTTTTATAAGGAGTTTGACAGGATTTTTTCGATTCCGCAGTGCTGGATACTATACTTTACAGATAAATATGATTAAAGCCTAACACTCAGATCCGAAAAAAACACCTTGCGAACAGAATCAGGGTTGATATTCGTATGAAACCGATAAGAAATTTGTTCGGGCAAAACTGTTTTCTAAGCTCTTTACGGTAGGGAGTACTCAGACACTAACCATACAGTATATAGATGTGCCAGTTCATACAATGAAAATGGCGCAGCTTAGGTGTCAGCGTACGGTCCCAGGCCTTCGGCTCTGGGATCGACCGCGTTCGGCTCATGACGTGACACGAGCAGACTGACAGCAAGCATGCATGTCTGTACGTGTACGTGCATTTTATTAACTTTAAACAAATCCAAGCAGTTGTCTGAGCAGTGTAACCGTCGGAATGCAGTGCACACCCTAGTCACACCACTGGCCGCTAGAAGAATATATGACATTTGTTTGCTAGCAAACAGTTTTTGGATCTGAGTACTAGGCTTTAAATAAAAGGGCGCAATAGGTTAAAAAATGAAAATGTATCCAAATTACTTTATATTAGGCAAAGCCTTCGAGATGCTAATGGTTGTTTTATTTGTAAGCCATACTACATTATGCTGGGCTCACGTTATTGAAGAAGAAACGGAGGACGGTTTATATTGTCATTTTCAAGTTGTAGGAGAGACTATTGAAAACAGACGAAATGGAAAAACTGTTTTAATTTAAACTAATGTATGTATATGAATTACATTTTTAAGTTGTAAGAGAGACTATTGAAAATATATGATATGGAAAGACTTTTTTAATATAAACTAATGTTTATAATGTTTATGTACATTTATAAGTTTGTAATGTTATTGAAATAGATCAAATCAAAAAATTTTGTAATAACCTGTAATGGTATTTCTCGAAACTGAAATGGTATGTAATGATATTTATTTTTTGGCCGGATGGTATTTTTTATCGTTATCGTCACGGTCAAGCGTAACCTATATACCCTCTGCACACTGAGCCCATCGCGGGGCAAAGGTGGGAATTTTTGAAAGATGTGAAACACCGATTCACACTGCCAACATCCACCATCCATTAAAAACAGCTGATGCACACAATTTGGTGCGGCGGAAATTTGTTTACTTTTATAATTTAAATGATTATTAATAATATTGCAATGGTTGTGAATGTGATCCAGCACCAAAATATATTCTTGCAGAATCTAATCATGTTGCTGGACATGAATGCTGATTATGAGGCCAACATTGAAGAGGAGAATTTATTGGAATGGATATCTGTTTTGAAACCCCTGAAGCGTGGTCATTTGTGATTGCTTCTACTAAATCCAAATAATTTTTTAAATACAAATATATATTCTATGTTTGTTGAGAAGTGGCTTGGGACATTTTGGGAGAAAGATGTACCCGAAAATAACTAGGCGTTTTTAAAGCTAATTTTAGTATAGCCGTATACTTTGGGCTCTTTTTCTGAATACAGAATAGTCGGAAGGCTGTCAGTCTATAGTGTGTGCAATATTCTGCATGAGTTTGGCAGATAATTCATAAGTGAGAGGATCCCAGAGGATAGTCCACAAGACCGAGAGTTGTGCCTGAGACAATTCCGACATATCAGATTCTTTCTTGTTGTTTTTTTTTACCATTTTCCTGTCTGCGGAACATCGGGCTGGGAAACCCGACATACATAGTTTACTTTTCATTCGTCCTGCCATATCTAAGATACATATATAGATACAAATTGCGTACTAATTGCTCTCTGCTCCTAAACTAAAATCCGATGTTACAAAGTTTCCAATTTTGCAAGACCCGGATAGTTCTCTATCAGGTGCGGATTAATTAGAACTCACGAAAAATATTAATTTCGCCTCCTTTTTTGGCTGGGGCTGTTCGGTGCAGGTATGCTTTGAACTGGTTGTGGTTAACATGACATTTCCTACTGAAGAATTTTAGCTTAAAAAGTTCCCGGACCATAAATATGATAACACTAGTAAACACGATTTTTCCTCAAGGAACAAAACGAACTTTTTCTTAAAGATTTGGGGCTTAGAAATGGTTTAATGATATTTTTTTTTTTTCTATGGCATAAATAATTTTAAATAATTTTTGAAAACTGGTATTTTTTTTTAACCTTTTTTCAGAGGTAGCGATTGTTTTTTTCACATAACCCTAGTATCTTACGTCTGGTTGTAAAGAACTTTGCTATTTTGAAAAGATAATTAAAACAGCTAGAAGTTGAGCCAAAACACTTTGTGATTTCAGCTTAACGAATTTTAGCTCCAAAGTCTCTCCATAGATTTTAATGAGCGATACCTTAAACGACGCCAAATTAATGCACCTATACATAAAAAAATAGAAGACACAGGATATTTTTTTTCGACTTTTCCTGAGTTTTTAAAGTCAAAATTTCGTAAAAAATACCGCACAAAAATCATCATTTTTGCATTTCAATGCTTTATATTTTCCAGACGGTAAGCTGAAATCACAAAGTGTCTGGGCTCAACTTCTAGCTGATTTAATTATCTTTTCAAAATAGCAAAGTTCTTTACAAACAGACGTAAGATACTAGAGTTATGTGAAAAAAAAGCGCTACCTCTGAAAAAAGCTTTAAAAAAAATACCAGACTTCAAAAATTCTTCAAAAAAAAGTTCTGCCATAGAAAAAAAACTATAATTCTTTAAACAATTTTAAAGCCCCATATCTATCAGAAAAAGTCGGTTTGGATCCTTGAGGAAAAAAAAATTTCGATTTTGTCGAGTAGTGTAATATAAGCAACTTTCTACAATAAACATCATTTTGATTTTGTACATATGGGCAGTTCCTATCTGGCGTTACGTTACTTTTGTACGACAAAATGTTGAAAAAAATAGTCAAAACACTGAAATTTGGAAAAAATTAGACCTATATTCACCAGAAAATTGGCAATAATCGAGCGTACTGTTTTAAAGATATAAGCCAAAGTATGACCTAAAAGTGCGTTACATAAAACAGAAGTGGTTTTCGAGGTTGGGGTATAAAATGGCAAAACTCTTCGAATTGGATAGGGCTATCTGTTTAACATTTTTTGTGCTAATAAATGAAGTATTGAGAGTTAATTTTCAAACTTATTAAATGTAAAAACTTTTTGTGTTTTTTTTGTTAAAAATCCGCGGAGGCATCTGGCGAACGTTACTAGCGTTACGTTACCAAATTCCGCGATTATAAAAGCCTAAAAATATACTGTTAGCCAAGGTTCGACCAACGTTCTGATAATAATTTTAGGTAGTTTAATATATTAGAAAGACTTTAAGCAGAAACGTTTATCAAGAATCATCTTCTTCCTAGGAGATAATAGTAAAAATAAACATGTCTATAAAAATACCAGAAAATACCAAAAACGTGAACGTTTGCTTATTTTCATCAGTTTTAGGATGAAAGTTAATGAAATTATATGTGAATAAAGTAAATAAGTTACCTTTCAATAAATTTAGAAAAAAATATCCGGAAAATATTATATAGAAATCGGTTTTAATTGACTTTTTATGATTTTTCGCCTGGTGGACCTTTTGGCGGAACTGCCCATATACTGATTAATGATGATTAGGATATTACAAAATATATTTAAAATGTATTTGATAATTTTATACATACCAGCTCTGACCACAACATCTTTGGATATAATGGTTCCTACACTGTTACTGGCAGAACAACGATAGATTGACCAATGTACATCCTGACGGAACTCTTCAGCAGCAAAAGGTTGAAAATATAGGGAGCTATTAGCCAAAATATGACGAGTCTAGAAGAAAAATAAGCCGAATAATGACTGTGTAAAATATAACGTCAAGGTCAATTACAGACATTTCTGCATATATGTAGGCCGACATGCCATTTTAAAATTGAATGAACAAATTGTAATTGGGTCCTCGGAACAATTTCTGCTGCTGTTTCGATAGCTTTTTGCTATTGCGCTCCGGTCGGGCAATTTCGGCAATTAACTTACACATTTACGAAAGAAGATTATGTGAAAATATGCAGGGGTGCCACAGAAATCACTTCCGCTGGAAAATCACCATTCCATTCCATTCCGCGGTGTCACACACCGATTTTTCAGCGGAAACAAAATCGATCACAATTTATCTAGCGATTTGATTTTAAAAAAAATCCGCTGCTGTGCGAGGTGGCCACCTAGGGCCATTCGGACTTTCGAAGTTAATACAATAATTCCACCTTTTTTAAGCCGAATTCGGAGCAAGATATTTAATATTAATTATAAAGCATTCTGTTTTTCTTTAATTAAGCATTACAAAAAGTAGCTCATTACAGTAAAACTTCCTTTACGTCAAACGTGTGCATACTTTTTGTGAAAATTGTGAAAACATTTGTACTCATTTGAAGTTCTACCAGGTGGCATCGCTTCAAAATGCCAGAAGAGAACTAACAAACCATTTGTACACATTATTGCCATTGCATTTATGTCACAAAATCCTGTTCGGCTAAGTGCAGACCCATGGCAGCACAAATAGAAGCATAGCGATCATTATACCAAAAACTGGTAATTGTAATAAACTAAATTAGCAGTAGTTTGAGAAGACAATCACAAAAATCACATACGTATCGTCTGAACGCGAAAACGAGTCCGATGCGCATCTGAGAAGCCTGCGGTGCAATGTATGTATTCTAATATGTTGCCTCCGCAATTCTTCGATGGCCAACAGTCTCGGTGAAAGCATTTTAATTAAGTTTACCGTAAAATTCAGATGTCTGTTTTTTTAAAAGCTGATTTCTGCCATGCACGGAGAGTTGCCAGACAAAAGTCTAGAGTTGCCGAGTACATTGATTTGTTTGACTCGCACGATATGGAATGTTTTTTTGCTTTGAGATTATAAAAGTACAGCTTTGAAAAATCAAATATTTTATATCATAAAACAAAAAAAGAAAAACCAATTGTTTTGATATGATAAAATCAATAAAACTGCAAAATGAACCCTATTGGAATTGAATCTTGAAAGGTGTCAACCCTAGCCTCAGTTCGAATTTGGTTTGTGACAATGCTAAGAAAAATGAAATCGCTCGGAACTCTGTGGCACGGAGGATATTTTTAAGCGGAAATCCTCTGCGCGGAAATCCTCACTACTGATTTCTGTGGCACTCCTGATAACACTAGTCAACACGACATTAACGCTGTGGCCCAAAATGACTTTTTCTAATAGATTTCGGGGTTTAAACATTTTTTACAAATTATGGTTTTTTTTATGGTTTAGTGTTTTTTTAAAGAATTAAAAAAAAATCTGGTATTTTTTTAATGTTTTTATACCCGTACTCAAAAAAGAGTTAAGGGGTATATTAGATTTGTGGTAAAAGTGGACGTGTCAAACGCAGAGAATGAAACGTTTCCAACCCCATAAAGTATACATATTCTTGATAAGCATCAATAGCCGAGTCGATATAGCTATGTCCGTCTGTCCGTCCGTCCGTCTTGATGAGCGCCTGGATCTCAGAGACTATAAAAGCTAGAGCAACCAAATTTGGTTTCCAGACTCATGTGATATCACACTGCTACAAGTGTATTTCAAAATTTCGCCCGCCCCCTTCCGCCCCCACAAAGGATGAAAATCTGTGGCAGGCACATTTTTAAAGATGCGATAAAACTAAAAACGTAAACTATCGTAGAGAATGACTATATTTCCCAGATTGCCGAATCCGAATCAGATCGGATCATTATTTTAGCCAGAATAAAGAAATTAATTTTCAGTTGTTTCCCCTGCCACCACCTGCCAACGACCACGCTACTCATTCGCTTTCTCGCTCGCACACTCTGCCGCGTTCAGTGCGCGAGCAACCCCTCACGGAGGAGATGTTGAAACTAAATGGTACATGCGTAATCTACATGTAAGATGTAAAATATACATTGTAGATGTGGATGTAGATATCAGATGTAGCAAAAAAATGTAAAATGTAAAATTTTTTTTTAATTCAAAAATTATAAGCTCAAAAATGTATATACTGACTGAGTACCGGTATAAGTAGAGTCGCGTCCCCAGAAGCGACTCACACGTTCCTTCTCGTTTTTCATAGGTAGTGCTTCTATTTTTCACATAACTTAAGTATCTTATATCTGGCTGCATAGAACTTCGCAGTTCTGAAAAGCTGACAAATGCAGCTATAAGCCCGACCCAGAGAGCTACAGCTTAACACCTGGAAAACATTAAGCTTTCAAATTCAAATTTCATAATTTCTGGTACCTGAACGTGTTCCTTTGGCCTTGAACCAGCAACGAAAAAAACCATGAAAAAATACCAGATTTTTAAAATTCATTACAAAAAATTCAATTTTGTCGAGTAGTGTAATTAAACCTTTTACACTATTTCAGCATTCACACTAAAATCTACTCTCTATTAAACGAGTCAGTATCAATCAGCATCCTCAACCGCTGGTCAGGCGACCCAGTTCCGAGTCTTGGTTGTGACACAACCCTAAATTTTCGCACAAAAGGTTTTGTTCAAATTTCATCATGAAAACTTTGCCAACTAGCAATAGGTCAGAGAAGAAGTAGAAGTAACTCGTTTATAAGTTTAAATATGAAATGAGGTTTACAAAACCAGCACGGTTCTGTCGAGAAAAACAAAATTTTGTTAGTCATTTCTGATTTCTTTCAAACCAAATTGTACTTTTATGCATGTACTATATTATATTACACAAGTTAACACTCCCCACCAGCCATAGGGTATCGGCAATGTTCTTAGTTATAAGAATGCTGACCCAGCGCTGGCATGGAAAGGGACGGCAACATATTACTATGTTGCATAAACATCCGCTCGACCAACGGGGACCGCACGAGGCGCTGACGCAGCGAAACAGGAGACCGCCGCTCGCGCAGCGCTGCCCAGGCTGTGGGGACTTATGCATAATTATATCATTTTGTACTTTTAGTCTTTTACTCACTTTGAACCGTGCCAGTAGGCCGGAATAAAATTATATAAAACACATCCGATCTTTCTCTGCCGATGGCTAATGCCGCGGCTTAAGTAACGGGAATATCGAATAATTAATTTACATACTATATATTAAACCATACCTTAAAAATTGATGAAATAGGATTATTTTCTTTATCGAGCCACTGAATAATTGGTGGGGGGTTTCCAGTAGCAGCACAATCGACTGTGTTTCCCGCATTGTTCATAAAGTCGATTCTACCAGGAGGTTCGATTGAGAAACTAGGTCCTTGTGTATCGAAAAAGCTTGAGACATCTAGAAATGTAGAGCAATCAAAAAATGTATTTTCAATATATTTGTAATTCAAATATTTAGACCAAGAAATAAATTTGAACTTTATCAAAATGGGGGTCTAACTTTACCATTTATTTTTCATTTTTTTAAATTATTTAAAACTAAGGGGCAAGCCAATCGACCCACACAACCATTCTTCTGATCACTACGCCTTATTAACACATCATAATTTTGCATTGATACTGAAATGGATGATAAAATTCAATTTTCCTCTTGATGCCATTGATGGCCTCTTCCTCTAACGCACACACTTAGAAGAAGAAGCACGGAACAAAAAATACAGGACGGCAACCGAAAAAACCCTTATCTCTCTATTCTTTCTGAACCTCTTCTTCTTCTTTCACTAACTTATAGACAGACCCCTCTTCCTCTAAAGTACACCCCCTCCCCTCATTCTCATAGAGAATACCCTCTATTTTATTTCCTGTGCCTCTTCATCTTTCTCTAACTCACACACATACGACCCCTTACGGCTAATTACGACCACTTTAATATGATTTACATAATAATGTATATATAACGAGAAGGAACGTGTGAGTCGTTTCTGGGGACACGACTCTACTTATACCCGTACTCAGTCAGTATATACATTTTTGAGCTTATAATTTTTTAGAATTTAGAAAAAAAAAAAATTTTACATTTTACATTTTTTTGCTACATCTGTTATCTACATACATCTATCTACATATATTATGTATATTCTAAATCTAAAATGTAGATTGTACATGTTCCATTTAGATTCTACATATCCTCCGCTAGGGGTTGTTCGCGCACTGAACGCGGCAGAGTGTGCGAGCGAGAAGGAAAATGGGTTGCGTAGTTGTTTGCGGGAGGGGGCAGGGGAAGCAACTGAAAATTAATTTCTTCATTCTGGCTATAATTATTATCCGATCTGATTCAAATTCGGCAATCTGGTAGATATGGTCATTCTCTACGATACTGCGCTATTAGTTTTATCGTATCTTTAAAATTGTAGCTGCCACAGATTTTCGTCCTTTGTGGTGGCGGAAGGGGGCGGGCGAAATTTTGAAATACACTTGTAGCAGTGTGATATCACATGAGTGTGGAAACCAAATTTGGTTGCCCTAGCTCTTATTGTCTCTGAGATCTAGGCGCTCAACAAGACGGACAGACAGACAGACAGACAGACAGACAGACAGACAGACAGACAGACAGACAGACATGGCTCTATCGACTCGGCTATTGATGCTGATCAAGAATATATATACTTTATGGGGTCGGAAACGTTTCCTTCTCTGCGTTACACACATCCACTTTTACCACAAATCTAATATACCCCTTAACTCTTTTTTGAGTACGGGTATAAAAATCTCTTGTCACGGTGCTTGTGGTTGAACCCCTCCCAATTTTTATGAATTTTTTGTTGTATATTAAGTAGGTTTGCGACTGGTCTTAATCATCATATTTTTTGTGAATTTGGTTAATTTGTAACTGTGTTACAGTGAAGAATGCCAGCAATACGCAGGGGAACACAGTTGCACTGTCGCACAGTGGTGCCTTCGGCCATTTCAGCTTGCTAAGGTAATAGCTTCTGAACGAATCAAGATATCTTCATGAAATAACTTGGATTTTAAAGAAAAATCTTCGAAAATGTAGTCTGCAAGATTAAATAATAAAAGTTTAACTTTGATTCCGGTGCAAATTTTGCTGTTTGCGTACTCACCCGTACTCAAAAAAGAGTTAAGGGGTATATTAGATTTGTGGTAAAAGTGGATGTGTGTAAAGCATGGAAGGAAACGTTTCCGACCCCATAAAGTATATATATTCTTTTTCAGCATCAATAGCCGAGTCGATATAGTCTGTCTGTCCGTCTGTCTGTCTGTCCGTCTGTCTGTCTGTCTGTCCGTCTTGTTGAGCGCCTAGATCTCAGAGACTATAAGAGCTAGGGCAACCAAATTTGGTTTCCAGACTCATGTGATATCACACTGCGACAAGTGTATTTTAAAATTTCGCCCCGCCCCCTTCCACCACCACAAAGGACGAAAATCTGTGGTAGGCACATTTTTAAAGATACGATAAAACTAAAAACGCAATATCGTATAGAATGCCCATATCTACCAGACTGCCGAATCTGAATCAGATAGGATCATATTTATAGCCAGAATGTTGGTTCTTCCGCCCCCTCCTGACAAAAAGACCCGCTGCCTATCTCTTTCTCGCTCGCAGACTCTGCCGCGTTCAGTGCGCGAGCAACCCTTAGCGAAGGAGATGTAGAATATAAATGGTACATGTACAATCTACATGTTAGATGTAGAATATACATTGTATATGTATATGTAGATAACAGATGTAGCAAAAAATTTAAAAAATTTTTTTTTTTATTCTAAAATTCTAAAAAATCATATGCTCAAATATGTATATACTGACTGAGTACGGTTATAAGTAGAGTCGCGTCCCCAGAAGCGACTCCACGTTCCTTCTCGTTTTTCTTCCATCGATAGAGAAAGTTTAATAAGTAATTTCACTACTTTTTTTGGTAAATTTGTATTTATTTCACACATATATCAAGGAAACATTAAAATTACATGGTTTACTGATACTACACTACCAACTTTTACTATGCACTTAGGACAATTGACATTCATTAAAATTACAAGTAGAATTACAAATGAAAGGAGTTAGATCTGTGACAGGACGATACTCTAGGACTCCTTCCAGCCTTCGTTAACGTTAACCTCTAGCTACTCTCCTTGTCAGGACGTTTGGGTAGTTTGCTAGTTTGGCCATGTACCATTCGGCCTTACTGTTTCTGACATCCCCTACCAGGGGGGCACGAAGGTCCCAGGCTATGTCTTTGTTTCTAGCAAACCACTCTGCTCCTGTGATCCTCAGTACAAAATGGCTCTGAAAAGTGCGGATCCTGTTTAAATGTGTCTTCGCAGAAATGCCGAATACCTGAACTACGTACCTCAATACCGAAGCCAGCACCTTGTTGGAGAGGCTAAGTTTATTATTCGCCTTGAGTAGCCAATACATTTTCCTGGCCTTGTCTTCCAGCTTGCCCCTGATTTTGCGATGTGGCTTCTGAAAGTCAGGCGGGTGTCGAGGGTGACACGGAGGTACTTTTACTTTCTAAGCGGAGGCAACAATTCTCCGTGCAGGAACACTCCTGGAAACTTTTGCTTCTTGAGGGTATGCGTGACGACTGCACATTTGTCAGGATTGATGCTTACGGTCCACCTTCACGCCCAGTTCGCGAACTTCCTGAGGTAGATCTGCAGGTCGTCGGTTGCGACACAGATGCAATTCGCGATCGAAATCACGGCAGTGTCGTCTGCAAATGTTTTTGGTGAGCTAGCGTCACTGTTAACGATCTAGAAGTCTAACGGGTCCGAACCGCAAAAAGGGCTTTTAATTTCAAGTTAAATTTAAAAAACCCAAAAATGAGATGGTTTGGAAAAAAGTTTTTCTCTAGAACTGTTTATTCAACGAACCAGTTTTTCATTGAATATTGATAAAAATGAATAACCTTGTAAAATATACCAAAACAGAATCATACCTCACACAGTTTACTTTTTATGCGACCTGAAAGATGCAGTATTTCAATAAGTGTGAAATACATTTTTGCACACGGAAATAATATCATATCTCCTAAATCAAACGATCGATTTGAAAATTGGATTTTTGAAAGCTCTGGAAAATTCTCTATTGGATTTGTGTATTTGATTTAGCCAAAGCGCTCAATAAATTCATTGACTTTTGCCACCTCTTTGCGGCTGAGGCTCCACTGTGCGCCGGTACATAATTGACAATATCAGAGAAAATGATCGACAACGCCAACATTTGCTTGCAAGCAAATGGAAATTAAAGGTCAAGATATGCCAAATATAATTGTTATTAATCGATTTGGAACCTATAAAAACGGAATGGTTCTTTCATACTTTAATTTTCTTGTCTGATGAACTGGTGTGGTGGCTCAGAAAGGGCCTAGCTGAGGCTACTGGACGGGTCGCAGGTTGCGGGTAGGAAACGGCCTACCTCGGTTTAGTTGCGAATAGTCAGTCAGTCATTGCAAAGATAAGTTGTCTCTGCAGGAGAATACAGAAAAAAGCCAGCAGATTTTCGCGAAGTTGCAACACTTACGATGAACTTGTGGTGCCGCCTTAAAAAAATAATTAAATTAATTTGCAAAAGAAGTATATCTAAACAAAAAAATTTTATTTTCCTAAACATTAAACTAAAAATTAGAACGAAAATTGTGTAGTTTTATGTAAGATATTATTTAGGTATGGTTTTATAAATATTAAATCGCGGTGTAAAAGTAATTGTAAGAATAATTGCGCTTTCTGTAACTGCTTGATATCGGCTGATTTCTGCTGATACTGCTGATACTCCTGTTAACTAATGCTCCTTCAGTGGGCCGGTTAGCTCACTCCCTGTTACATTCGGTCATCCTGATTAGTGACCAGTTCCTGATGACCATGCGTCCTCATTTCCTACAGCAAAACTCCATAGTTTCATGTTATCGTTGCTCGTAGTCGTATTGTTTGGTCCTTCGACGTCTGCTGCTTTTCAAACATATTAGCGTCCGCCTTGTTTAACGTTGGGTTTTCCGTATGGTCCTAAAAATTCGCTGGCCATCTTTCTTTCAGCTACGAATTTTGTTCTACGTATGGCCACGAGATCTCCGACTTTGTATCCGTACTCGCATTTCCGCTTTTTATCGAATTGTTCCTTGTATCTGTTCTGAAGTATATCGCTATCTGGTCCAGAACGCATTTTTACACCGATCATCAGCTCAAATGGACATCGCTTTGTAGATCCACGAACAGTGCTATTAATAGCCCTCTGAACTCGGGGTACGAACTTATACCATCTTCCAGGCTACACCGATGACAGTTTGGAAAAGAAGCTCAGAATAGATCGGATTACGCGTTCAATTTGTCCATTGCCTCTTGGCACCCCTGTGGTGCCCCATACGTGTTCGATGTTCTCTTCCT